TTCCCGGCACACCTCAACAAGAAAGACAGCCAAGCGAAGGACAACCAGATCAAGAACCATACCACCGACACCCCCACCTCAGACTATGGGATCACTAGTACAGTCAACGACTCCTCCAACCACGCAGACACAGTCACCACCACCTCCAGTTCAGCTGCTACCACCAATACCAGCACCAGCTATGTTGGGACCAGCGGCGGAAGCATCGTCGAGTTCACTAACACTGGCTCCAACATCTGCTACGGCGAGTTTGGAGTTAAAGGAGAGTCGCAGGCAATTGGATGCAGCAGAAGCTTCCATCTTTACCCGACCGGGAGGATATCGAGGGCCACCGTTATCAGTACCAACGGCAGAGTCACAGCCAGTGGTAGACGACAGCGCAGACGACGAGCTCGCAGCCATGCAGCTGATGCTAGAGGACAAGGACCTACCATTCGGATGGGAGTTCGACGGCAACGAAGCGAAGCACAATGACATCTACGCCGAGATCAGTACCACGACCATGACACCACACGAGCGAGCAGGATTCATGGATGGCAAGCGGAAGGAGCTTGAGGAGTTTTTCGGAAATAACGTTTGGGAGCTTCATAAGCCTACCGGGGACGAAGACCCCGAGCGCATCCTGAAGGCCAAGTGGGTACTGAAATGGACCAAGAACGACAACGGCACACCGAGGGCCAAGGCACGTCTAGTGCTACAAGGCTTTAACGACCTAGACGCACTCCACGGCAAGGTACCGACGGCATCACCTACAGCATCTCGATTGGGACGTCGGTTAGCTATGGCACTGGCAGCTGACAATGGATGGAGATTGTGGACAGCGGACGTGGCAACCGCATTCCTACAGGGACGGCCGCAAGAACGAGTCCTCTACGCCAAAATACCACGAGACGCAGCTGACCTCATGGGCATCCAGCCAGACACGCTCACGAAGGTGATCAAGCCTGTGTATGGACAAGTGGACGCACCACGACGTTGGTGGCAACGAGCAGTTGATGACCTCAAGGCCAGCGGGCTCAAGCAGCACCCTCTGGACCCACGCCTTTTCGCTAGCTACGACAAGGACGGCAGTTGCGACGGGTTTATCCTACTCTACGTAGACGACATGCTCGGAGGAGGAGATCGCAAGCCCGGCAGCAACTACAGCAACATCATCGAGGCAGTCAAGAGCAAGTTCAAGTTTCGGAAGTGGATAGAGGAGGACAAAAATGGAGTATTGTGAATCGGATCTACGCCAGACCACTCACTGAGACAACAAGCGCTCCAACGGCACTGAGATAAACATCAAGATGCAGTCCTACGCATCCAACCTCAAACCGATCACGGTTGATCAGAGTGACGACAACAACGACCGACCACTCACGCCAAAGGACATACGCCAACTTCGAGGACTACTTGGAGCTCTACAGTGGCCAAGTTCGCAAGTATGCCCACATACGTCAGCATCGGTCAGCACTCACCAAGGGAGGCTTCCAACGGCGACGGTGGCAACAGCAAGACAGGTAAATAATGCGCAAAGGTTCTACAAGCAGAACGCGGGCGTCGGTCTCAAGATGAAGAAGATTGGCAAGGTCAACGACATCGTGCTCGCAGCGATGAGAGACGTAGCTTGGGGAGTACGACAAGACGGATCTAGTCAAGGAGGGTCTGTGATTATGGCATGTCACTCGAAAGTACTTGACGGCGAGAACTCAGATTTCTGCGTTGTTGATTCAAAATCTTTCAAGTTGGCGAGACTAGCCAGGTCGTCACTACATGCAGAATCCCAAGCAGCGGCAGCAGGCACGGACGCACTACAATTTGCGAAGCGATTCTGGGCACCCTTTTTCTACGACGACGTTAACGCCAACATTGACGAGAGCACGCGCTACGCATGAGAGTCAGCACTCGTGATCGATGTGAAGGCGCTCTACGACGCAGCCAAGAAGGAGAGCATCACCAGCTTCCAGGACAAGCGCACCGGCATCGAGGTATTGGCACTACGAGAACGGATGGATGCTACACAGACGCAGTGGAAGTGGGTCTCACCAGAGCGGCAGTTTGAGGATGGTCTCACGAAGTTAGCGGCAAGGCAACTCTTCGCAGACAGACTTCGAGCTGGACGATTTCAGCTACAACATGACCCTACCTATACGGCAGCCAAGAATAACACCAAGGAGGAACGACAGGATATCATCAAGAGAAGTAAGATAGATACGTCATCAGATGCTAAGGCGAGATCACCACTCATGCAGCTGGCGGTATCTGCGACGTGTTGTTGCAGGTCAGCGGCAACCTACACTCCAGAGTTCGAGTATCACAGAGAATGCAAGAACTACTATGACGAGATCGTGACGTGTCCGTGGTTTTCTGGAGGCATTTGGGACGCACTAACGCTTACCATGATTGGAATGGCAATGGCAGTTCCAGCAGTTTGATACATATTGCGACAGTTTATGGAGCATCGAGACGACTCCAGTGTGAAGTACCAGACTGAGACCAGCAACAAGCATGAGACGACCGAGGAGACAACGAAGACCAGCATCGACAAGGAGACGACCATCCACCTCAAGAAGACGAGCAACAACCACAAGCAGGTGCGACGGCGGACGGTCGGCGTACAGAGTATGGTTACTTACCGGCTGCAGGGAAATCAGTGGCGATTCTGTCACGAAATGAATGGATTTATGCGAGCAGGCGAAGTTTCACTGGAGACGACTGAACCCAACCAGTGGCAGGACGGCTACGATCGGGCAGCAGACGACAGCCCCTAAGGGCTGCAGTGAATGAGCCAACACACCAGCGCAGCTTCAGATGTTTTTTTTTTTTTGCACGTTCAGTTTCATTGCCATTTATGCACTTCATATGCCCCTTGCAGACGCAGGCTTGCATGTCATAAGTATGCAGGTTGTGTATCTCAATTTTACGCAGTTGGTTTGTACAGTCTTCGGCAGCTTGTGCAGAATATGTTTCAGATGTCTATATGTGTAGTTTCGGATTTCAGATTTCATATTGAAGGAAAGGTTTCCCTCTGTTCTATGTTTTTACTCTTCCACGCGTGCGAGATATACGCTGCACATCTTGTGTATTGTGCAGAGCCTGACTGTTGCATTGTTAACGTACTGTTACGTTTCGGCCCAAACCCTTCGGGGCCCTTGAGTCGAGCGCGCCAGCGGTGTGAAGCTATCATCAGATGTTTACTTTCTGGCTTTTCATTCTTATTGCCATCGAAGACTTCGGGGGCTTTGATAAGTTCATACGGGAGCCAGGCGCAGGGGCACTCATGCAGCGGGGCTGCGGCGAGCGGGCAGGGGCGGCTGGGCTGAAGGGCAGCCCCTGGCATCCGTCGTGGGGCGGCATCACGACGCACCCAGGGGCGAATCCCAGCAAGTGGGGAGGGGGAGCCGCGTGCGGCCAGATAGCCGGGGCGCCAGGCAGGCGCGGCGGCTGGGGGCGGGCCAACAGTGTGGAGCGACCGGCGCAGCGCAGCTGCGAAGGCGGCCCCGGGCGGAGAAAATACGTGTCTGGGGCAGTGGGCGCGTGAAAATACGTGCCCCGCGCGCCAAACGCATATTGGGCACCCACCCTCCGCGCACGCAGTTCCACGTTCAAAAAAAAAACGACGCGCCCAAGTTGCCCCCACCCCCCCCCCCTGGGCGCACGCTTTTTCACCTGTGAAAAATCCGACGCGCCCTGGCTGGGTTACCCCCATGGGGGCCGTGGACACGTGAAAATAAATGCCACGCGCGCGCGCGCCCCAGACACATTGTGTACCCCCCCCGCCCTCCGCGAACTGGAGGCCGTGAGCACGAGAACACAAGTGCCCCTCGCGCACGCGCATGGCGCATGGTGGGTCCCCCCTGTACCTAAAATTACTCTGCCCCTTTGGGGCCGTGGACACGTGAAAAACCGTGCCCCGCGCGCACGCTCCAGGCGCATGTTAAGCCCCCCCTCCGCGCACGTAGTTTTATGGGGCCGTGGACACGTGAAAGTAGTTCCCCCGCGCGCACGCCCCAGGCGCATGTTGGGTCCGCCCCTCCGCGCGCGAATTTCTACAAGTTAAGAATCTGACGGGCTCAAGTTGGGTCCCCCCCTTTGGGGCAGTGGACACGTCAGAATACCTGCCCCGCGCGCACGCGCCAGGCGCATATTGGGTCCCCCCCCGTCCACGCACGCAGCTTCACGCGTAAAGATTCCAACGGGCCCAAGTTGGGTCCCTCCCTGGGGGCCGTGGACAGTGAAAACACGTCCGCCGAGCGCACGGGCCAGGCGCATGTTGGGTCCCCTCCCCGCTCCGCGCACGTGTTTTCATCGGGGCCGGGGACGCGTGAGAACATGCCCCGCGCGCACGCGCCAGGCGCATGTTGGGCCCCTCCCTCCGCGCACGTATTCTTCTGGCGGGCCAACTGATATTCGGCGACGATGGGCATCAAAGGGGGGGGGGACATGGCCAGGCGGGGTACAATGTAACGCCCCCCCCGCCACGCGCACGGCGGCAGTGCCCGGAGCGCACTGGAGAGGGAGGGGCGTTGCGTTATAGGCAGGGGGGAGGGGGGGGCCTGGAGCCACAACGCCAACTGTGCCCCAAGCAAGAAAGAAACACGCCCTTATGAAGGGGCCCTGGGACACACAAATAAGTACACACAAAAAAATATCCCCCATATTTTCTCATATTTTCTGTTTTTTTGTCTTCCTCCCCACTTCCCATATTTTCCCATATTTTCTGGGGGATCGAGGATTAATTGTGTCTGTGTGTTTTTTCCTCTCCTGATCTTACGCGTAAGGAATCTCAGAGGGCCAAGTTGGATCGCTCGCCGGCGGCCCCCTGGCTGGCCAGAACCAGGGACGAGCGCGCACCGCCCGCGCGCGTGCCGAGGCTCGTGCTGGAGACCCCCCTTCTGACTTTCTACCTGTCGGCGGCGAGGCGGCGATCTCCGCTCCAGCGAGAAGCTAGATAGGGGCATGAACAAGCGAATTGGCCGGCGAGCAAAGAGAGGGGGGTCGGCCGAGAGGAAGAAGGGGCGCTCAGACGTCGAAGAGGAGGCCCCCTCTGCACGCGTGGTCTTGCGCGTCCAATTCTGGCGCCGCTGCTCGACACCCTTCTGGTGGAGGGCCGTTGGCCCGCAAGCTGAAAGTCATTGCACCGACCTTGCAAACGTGCTGCAGCGGAGTTTGGCGGGGAATTCTGTCAATGCAAAGCAGGGCCCCGAATAGGCGAGCCAAAAATGAAGTGAATCTCACTTGGATTGTGTGTAGTCTTCGTTCCTGTCTCCAAAAAAAACCGCACGAGATTCACTTTGAAATCAGGAACAAAACTCGCCAGGACAATCCGGGCCCATCCCATTATCTTCCGAACGAAATTCGCTCTGCGATATTGGCGCCATGATAAAAGAGAACCTTGAGCCGGAGCCCTTGCCGGGAAAACCGCCGAGATTCAAAAAGTCATATCGCCGGAGATCTGGGGATACAGTAGGAACTCGACCACAAGAAACCTTCCGCAAGAAACCCAACCCTGAGACCCCAGGACGTCCAATGATTTTTTATGTGGGAACGTCGCGCCTTCCATAGCAAAGCCAGCGAAACCCAAGAAACCCAGGGCCCACTGGAGGCAAGCAGGGTTTTTCGTGGCATGGGTGGCCACTGTATCGCCTCGCGTGGTTTACGGCTCGGCGCCATCCAGGCAGCGCCTCGCATGGTGTTCCACTGTATCACCTCATCCAGGCGGCTCCGATAGAGCCAAGCAGTGGCTCGTGACGGCAGCAAGATGCCCGAAGACTGGCCTAAGACGACTGGGCGACCTCCCAAAGGTTTTCAACCCCCCACAAGTCCAATGATGCTCCAAGGAGCCCTCAAGAGGCGCCCAGGTATGCCTCGCGTGAGGCCCCAGGAGGCAACAATCCGTGACGCATCCTAACAATCTGATTGACTTCACTGCAAAATATATTCGGCTTCAGACCGGTCCGAGAACGATTCGGAAAGTCCGAAGACGTGCCCAAGATTGCCCAACACGGCCCAAAAGAGGGCTTCGAGACGGTCCCAGCACGTCCCGAGAATCCGCCAACACGGCACACGAATTGGACGCCCGAATTGGGTACGGAAAAAACTGTACGATGTCCAACAGGAAAGGATGTCCAAAGCCGACAGCGGCCGCTGTTGGGCAGGTGCCTTTCTGTCTTAAATGGACAACGTCCGCGGCCACACCAACAACAAATCCTTTTCATAATGGACAAGAAACTCTGTCGGCACTCGTCCCCATACTTTCCGTAGCCATGCTGACCCTCCCGACACGAAGACTCCAAGACGACTCCAAGATCCGTCCGGGCGTCCTTCCAAATAACGCAACCGACAGAGGGCTCGGGAGAACACTAGCACCTATGAGCGGCTCCGAGACCCTTGGCGGGCCCCTAACGGCACCCCTGCGGTCCGCCTAGAGGAGGCTCCGAAAGAAGCATCGATATGCCTTTGATGGGGTGGAGGTGGAAGACGGTGATGGTGATGAAGATGGAGATGAAGATGTTGATGAAGATGACGAAGATGACAATGATAATGATTAGGATGATGACCATGATGATGAGGAGGAGGCGGAGGAGGAGCAAGAGCAGGAGGAGGTTGATAATAAAATTGATGAGATGGAGGATATTGAGGAGAAGGGTATCATGATACAAATCAGCATTAATACCACACGAATGAAGAATAGAGAATACATGCATACTCATCATCATCGTCATACTACTGATACTATTCAATTAGCCATAAGCTTAATAACGCTAATCCGCCAGCCCCCTTGTGGGGCCACCAGGCTGTGGGGTGAAGGTTCGCAGTTTCCTGTACCAGTTGCAGCTTCCAGTTTCCACTGTTACAGTTCTGCTTCTTGCTGCTTGCTGTCCTTTGTTGACTTCTTGCTGCTTACTGTTCCTTGTTGATGGACCGCGCGAGGTGGGGAGGCCCAAAACGGACATTTTTACGACGGCCAACACGTGTTGTCTGGATTGCTGGGGTGGGTATGACACCCCTCACGCAAATCGGCGGGGTCAGGGTCCAAAAACAAACAAGGGCTTTGCCACATTTCTGAAATCCGGAAGCACCCGGGGTCAGGGTCCAAAAACATATTGGATTTGCAACATTTCTGACATTCGGTTGCACCCCTCACGCAGATCGGCGGGGTCAGGGTCCAAAAACATATGGGATTTGCAACATTTCTGACGTTCGGTTGCACCCCTCACGCAGATCAGCGGGGTCAGGGTCCAAAAACAAATGGGATTTGCAACAGTTCTGGCATTCGGTGGCACTCCTCACGCGGGTCGGCGGGGTCAGGGTCCAAAAACACATGGGATTTGCCACAGTTCTGAAAGTCGGTGGCACCCCTCACGCAGATCGGCGGGGTCAGGGTGAAAAAAACAAAGATTTTGCTACATTTCTGAAACTCGCTGGCACCCCTCACGCAAATCGGCGGGGTCAGGGTCCAAAAACACAAGGGATTTGCTACATTTCCGAAATGCGGTGGCACCCCTCGCGCAGATCGGCGGGGTCAGGGTCCAAAAACATATGGGAATTGCCACATGTCTGACATTCGGTTGCACCCCTCACGCAGATCAGCGGGGTCAGGGTCCAAAAACACATGGGATTTGCAACATTTCTGACATTCGGTTGCACCCCTCATGCAGATCCGTAGGGTCAGGTTCACAAGACAAGTCAATTGGTTTTGCCGATTACGAATCGGCCTCGCATGAAGTTCCGATACTGCTTCACGACGGCGCCAAGGCCTCATGACATAGCTCTCGCATAGCGCATTCTCCGAGATAGGGGGCCGGCGGCAGGGGGCGAAGCCCTTACAGAACACAATAATACTAGTAATAGAAATCATCAGCAGCGTCATCATCATCAACAGCAGTATCAGCATCAGTATCAGTATCAGTATCAGTATCAGTATCAGTATCAGTATCAGTATCAGTATCAGTATCAGTATCATCATCATCATCACCATCATCACCATCACCATCACCATCACCATCACCATCATCATCATCATCATCATCATCATCATCATCATCATCATCATCACCATCACCATCACCATCACCATCACCATCAGGAGAAGAAGGGGGAAAGGACAAGGAAGGTGCATTTGAGACCCGCACCGGTTCGGCCAAGGGCCTGATCTGGAACGGGTCGCAAGCACAACCTCCTTCTTCCTGCGCTGCTGCACCAGCGCAGTCTGGGATTTGCCGCAAGCAGATGGATATTGAAATGATACAGGCTCCCCGCCAGCTGGCGCTGCGAGCGCGGCTCTTCTGCCCAGCGCAAAAAGGAGCAATGAGAAACGGAGGGGGGGGGCTGGAGGCGAGGCGATGGCGCTCCATCCCAATCTCATCTTCGGCACCACTCAAAGACATGCGTTTCCCTGCGCGTCCAGGGGCTCAGCCGGTGACCGTGGCCTTTCGCAGATCGGTGAACTCGGCCTCCGCGAACTGCATGAAAGCGTTCCACCTGCAGCTCATCTTGTCGCTCTGGTACGCCAGCATCGCGAGGTCCACGCTCCTCGCCGCCCCTCTCAAGCGCATGCATCCATCCACGAACGCATCGATCTCTACCTCATTTGAGTCCTCGACATCCAGCAACTCGTACAGCTTCTTAGCCTGCTCCACCTCTAGTTCAAGGGCAGCGAAGTAGCTGCTCACCTTCTCGTGGCGCAACGCGTCCGAGAGGTCCTCCCATGACACTATCTGTTTCTGTGACCCCCTGAACCACTGCTTGAGCTTGTCCGCGCACCTCTTCCGCTTTTCCGCCTCATACTGGACAACTATGTCCTGGTCTTTGAAGGAAACAAGCGTCGCACTGTCCACAAAGATCCACCACCGTGCCCCCTGGCACGTTGAGGCGTGGTAGACTGCCAAGGGATGCCTTGTAGGGCGTCGGAATCATGTAAGGCCCCCCCCTCTCGGTCACGCTTGCGCGTGTGAATGGCCCCCTCTCCACACCATTTCCCCCCAACCAGGTTAGCCAGCGTAGACCTTAAACGATCAATTCATGATCTGTGAGTGTGCGAGCTCTGTGGTGCAAGCTATGTGGTGTCAACCGTGTGGTGAACGTTGTGAGGTGCCAGGTATGGGCTTGACCGCCAGCGACACCTCGGCGGACCCCCCCCCGTGGATTGCAACAGGGCAGCCGCGAGGCGGAACACCTCGGCGGATCCTCCAAGTGGGGCGCCAGCGCAGCGGCCTCGAGGCGGCCACGGGCGCCGCCTCGGCGACACCTCGGTGGCCGCAACCAGGAAGCGGGCAGCAGAGGGGCGGCGGCGCGGCGAAGTCTCGGGGGATCCTCCAAGTGGGCGGCCACGAGGCGGCCGCGAGGCGGCCACGGGCGGCGACGCGGCGAAACCTCGGCGGACCCCCAAAATGAGCGGCAACGAGGCGGCCACGAGGTGGTCACGGGCGGCGACGCGGAGAAACCTCGGCGGACTCAACCAAGAAGCGGGCGGCAACGAGGCGGCGACGCGGCGAACTCTCGGCGGACCCTCCTGCTGGGCGGCAGCGAGGCGACCACGGGCGGGGACGCGGCGAAACTTTTGCGGACACCCGAAATGGGCGGCGGAGCGGCGGCCACAAGCGGCGGCGCGGCGAAACCTCGGCGGACCCCCCACGTGGGTGGCGGCGAAACGACCCCGTGCGGCGACGCGGTGAAACCTCGGCGGACCCTCCAAGCGGGCGGCGACGAGGCAGCTGCGAGGGGGCCACGGGCGGCCGACGCTCGAGCCGGCAGCAACGAGACGGCCACGAGGCGGCCGCGGACAGCGACGCGGCGAAACCTGGGCGGACTCAACCGGGCGGCCACGGAAGGCGACGCGGCGAAACCTCGGCGGACCCTCCAAGTGGGCGACAACGGGGCGGCCACGAGAGGCGACGCGGCGAAACCTCGGCGGACCCCCCGAAGGGGGCGGCAGCGGGGCGGGCGCGAGCGGCGGCGCGGCGAAACTCGCCCCGCCCAAGCGGGCGGCAGCGAGGCGGCCACGAGGCGGCCACGGGCGGCGACGCGGCGAAACCTCGACGGACCCTCCAGGCAGGCGGCAGCGGGGCCGCCACGAAGCGGCCACGGGCGGCGACGCGGCGGAACCCCGGCGGACCCAGCCAAGAAGTGGGCGGCAACGCGGCGGGCACGGGCGGCGACGCGGCGAAGCCTTGGCGGGGCCCTCCCAAGCGGGCGGCAACGAGGTGGCCGCGAAGCGGCCGCGAGCGGCGACGCGGCGAAACCTGGGCGGCCCTCCCGAGTGGGCGGCCACGAGAGGCGACGCGGAGAAACCTCGGCGGACCCTCCAAGTGGGCGGCAGCGAGGCGGCCACGGGCGGCGACCCGGCGAAACGTCGACGGACCCTCCAGCTGGGCGGCCACGAGGTGGCCAGGAAGCGGCCACGGGCGGCAGCGCGGCGAAACCTGGGCGAACCTGCCAAGTGGGCGGCAACGAGGCGGCCAGGAGGCGGCCACGGGCTGCGACGCGGAGAAACCTCGGCGGACCCTCCAAATAGGCGGCAACGAGGCGGCCACAAAGCGGCGACGCGGTGAAACTTCGGCGGGCCCCCTCAGTGGGCTGCAACGAGGCGGCCACGAGGCGGCGACGCAGCAAACCCTCGGCGACTCCAAACAATTCCTTAGCGACATAAGTTAGAACCCCTAAGTGCAAGCACTGTGTTGGGAACAACTGTTCTGACCTCCCGAAACCACCATCCCGTGCAATACAAACCAATGGATCCGCAATATGTAGGCCACGATCCCTTGGTAACGACGCTATGGGCTCGTGCTCTTGATGCCATACCGCCTTTCCAAACCATATGAGAAACAGTGGGTCCGCGCTCGCGAGCTTCCAAGACGGCCGAGGCAGGCCACCAAGATCGCCAAGATGGCCTAATATGTACCCAAGACTGCCCAAGATGGCCCCAAGATGCCAGATCGTCAAGACGGCCCAAGATGGCGACAAGAGGACCTCAGCAGGGCCTGGTAATGCCCTAACGCATAATATGCTTCTTTGTGGTGTTTGCAACATTTGGGCATCTTCGCTGTTTCGGATTTCTTTCAGCTCCAGGCGGCCCTAGAGACCTCTAATATTGCCCCAGGGCGAAACCCAAATGGCCCATCAATCCATCAGGACGACCTCCAGGCAGTCCAAGACAGCCCCAAGAGAGCTCAAAGCTGGCCCAAGAGGGCCACCAGAAGAACCAACTACGGCCTTATAGAGCCCCCCGACTGCCCAAGACGGCCCCAAGACGACCCGACGACGGCCGCAAGAGGCCCCGCAGACGGCCAAGAGGGCCCCAAGACGGCCCAAGAGCCCCAATATGGCCCAAGACTGCCCGAAGCGGCCCGAGGGACCCCCAAGACTGCCCCACAGGAGCCCAAGAACGGACGAGCGAAACGGAGGAAGACGACGAAACCGACAAAAAAAAACACGACGCGGAAGAGCGTGTCGCACGATCCAGCTCTTCCAGGCCTCGGGACACGAGGTGCGCTCTTCGAACAGTCGACACCCAAGGAGATGGGCTGGTACTGACGAACGAACAACACACACCCATACCCATAGGGGGGTCGTTGGGAGGAGGACTGGCTATGGGTATGGGTGCGGGTTGTCGGACCCTGGGGAACGCTCCCGTTCGAACAGGGACCCCCATCCGACAACACGCACCCATGGCCCTCTCCGACCCCCCCTATGGGTGTGGGTGTGTGTGTTGTTGGTTCGTCAGGTACGGTGGCGGGACTTGCCGCAGGCATCTGGATCCCATTCACGACGTTCATGACCCCAATGAGCGTGACAAAGATGTAGACGACAAGCGCAGCCGCGTAGACCGGGCTGCACGCACCGAGAGCGTGCATCAGGTACCCCCAGTCTTTGCCTCCGGTCACACACATGAAGAGGGACACCATGGCCTGCGCCAAGCTCCCGAAGAAAAGCTTCAGCTCTGATGCTACTGGGGAGTCGGCAGCTCCGTCGCGGAGGTACTCCTCGCGGAGGAACTCCACCACACCGTAGGAGAAGAATATGCTGAACACGTATACCTCCACCAGCAGCAGCAAAAACGCCCACGAGAGCGACGGCATTGCGTGCACGATGGATAGCATCATCACGCGGAAGCTGTGGAAGGCCGCCAGCAAACGTACGGCCCGCAAGACCCGTGCGAAGCGGAGGATTCGGAAGACGCGGACCGCGCCAATGGTCGCACTGCGATGTTCCCTCCCATCGGCATCCAACAGAGCCTCAAAGAAGTCCATGGCCGTCAGCACCAAGTCAAGCCAGTTCCAGTATCGCGCGGACCCCAAGAAGAAGTACCACTGGTCAGCCACAATTCTGAGCGTAACCTCGAGCACGAACAGCACGGTGACGGCAGTCTCGATGAACTTCCAGAGGCCCCAATCGTCCTCGCCCTGATGCTCACTCTGCCTCTCGAGCAGGTCGTTTATCTCGAATGCCTGTGCCACAATGCCCAGAACTATGACGCACGTGACTGCGCTCTTGAACGCGTGGCCGTGCACCACGTCCTTGAGAAAGACAATTGTCGCCATGGGAGGAAGGGGTTGGAAAGATACAGGGCACGACTGTGTAATAAGCACCTTCAACATACGCGGCAACATTGATGATGCGACGAATCCTCCCAACCCCACCCTCCAAAAAACCGAGTCTGTCAAAACTGAGAGTAATGGGGGCGCGAAACTGAAGCAAGTCCCTTGGAGGCGCATGCCGAAGCTTTTCGAGAAGGGCGGCCATCGAAAGTGGTCAAGGATGGACCGAAGGGGCAAGGATGCAAGGGTACTCCAGATTTCGTAATAAAGGGAGGGGGGTCTCATTCGGGGGAGTCTCTTCCAGGCTATCTTGGAGGGCCTGGGGGGGTCTGGGGACGATGTTTTGGAGGGTTCTCCCACGGGGGAGGTCTGAAATGGCTTGTCTTGGAGAGTCCAGGCCCCCTCCCTCTTATTACGAAATCTGGGGTACCCAGAGGAAGGTCATATCCACCCCGACCGTCGGTTCAGACCGCAGTGCGGCCCTCCCGAGAGTCCTGCAGCTGGCCGCGCCAGCCGTCCGCCCTGGGCATCCCGGCGAGGAAGCTCTGCAGGGCTGCCGGGACCTCGCCTCGGGCGGCGCGGCAAGAGCGACCCCTGGCAAGAGAGCGGCCCACCGGTGCGCGGCTTCTTCGGGGGGGGGGGGTCTTGGGGGCCTCCTCCTCCTCCTGCTCCTCCTCCTCCTCCTCCTCCTCCTCCTCTTCCTCCTTCTCCTCCTCCTCCTCGTCCTTCTCCTCCTCCTCCTCCTCCTCCTCCTCCTCGTCCTTCTCCTCCTCCTCCTCCTCCTCCTCCTCCTCCTCCTCCTCCTCTCCTCCTCCTCCTCCTCCTCCTCCTCCTCCTCCTCGGGGGGGGGGGGGGGCGCGGGGGGGGGGGGGGCGGGGAGGCCCCAGGTCAAGCGCGCGCGAGCCGCGCTGCTGCCGCAGCTTCCTCGGCGAGCGGGGGGGCGCCCCCCCCTGGCGGAGGGTCGCCCTCACGACGTGCCCTTGGCGGCGAGCGAGGGGTACTCCAGATTTCGTAATAAAAGGGAGGGGGTCTGGACCCTCCAAGACAAGCCATTTCAGACCTCCCCCGTGGGAGAACCCTCCAGAACATCGTCCCCAGACCCCCCCAGGCCCTCCAAGATAGCCTGGAAGAGACCCCCCCGAAATGAGACCCCCCTCCCTTTATTACGAAATCTGGAGTGGGCACGAGAAGGAGGAGGCCTCCTCCGAAGGCGGCGGGACTTCTCAGAACGCCCTCGCGGCCTCCGAGGAGTCTCTCGTTTGCCTTCGGGGAGGGCTTACTAACACCTCTCAGAAGGCTGAAGGACTTCCGAACCTTCTGAGAAGGCCTTCTCCGTCTCGCTTCCCCCCCTCGCTCGCCGCCGAGCGTATGAGGGGCAATGATAGGGGGGATAGGGATAGGGGGGGAAACATCGACCCGGAATCGGCGATACATCGCCGATAGATCGGCGATAGGCCTCCGATAGTGAACCCGCACTCTCCTGAGCAGCTTGGTGCCCTCGGGCCCCATCTCGGCGATCGGCGGGCGACTGGAGGTCGCTGCATCCCCCCCCCCCTAATGCCTACCCCCCCTATCGTTGCTCCTCCTCCTCCTCCTCCTCCTCCTCCTCCTCCTCCTCCGCCTCCTCCTCCTCCTCCTCCTCCTCCTCCTCCTCCTCCTCCTCCTCCTCCTCCTCCAATGTTCACCCCCCTCCTCCAATGTTCACCCCCCGGGTGTAGTCGATCGCCCCACGAGGCTTCGCGGCTCGGCTCCGGCGGCGCGGGGGCGCCCGCGGCCGCGGCCCCGCCCCGCCCGGCGGCCCGCGGCGGCGCCTCCTCGCGCAGCGGGGGCGCCGCCGCCTCGGCGGGCGCCGCCCGCCCCTGCGCGGTGCCCTGCAGGCACGCGCCGTGCTGGTCCTCGGCGGCGACGACGGCGAGGGCGCCGACGGCGGACGACGACGACGGCGACGATAGACGGCGACGACGACGATAGACGGCGACGACGACGACGACGACGACGACGACGACGGCGGCGACGGACGGCGGACGGCGGACGACGACGGCGGACGGCGGACGACGGCGACGACGGACGCGGCGACGACGGACGCGACGACGACGGACGCGACGACGCCGACGACGACGACGCCGACGGACGACGACGGTGGACGACGACGGACGACGACGACGGACGGCGACGGACTGCGACGACCGCACGCGCGGTGCCCTGCAGGCGCGCGTCCAGGTGCCGCACGTGCAGGGCCTCCAGCTGGGCGACGAAGCCCGAGAACAGACGCTGGACCTCCTCTCGGAGGAGGGCCAGTTCAGGCACGCGCGGAGGGGTGTGCAGTCGGGGTTGATTTGTGGATGCCATGACAATGGACACCCTAACAATCCAATCATTGAATAAACCATGTGTTTAACATGCCAAGGACATGAAGCCCCAAGAGACTCCCAAGAGGTCCCCAAGAGGCCTTAAAGAGGGCTCCAGGGCCGGCGGCATGAGCGAAGCGATTAAATAAACCATGTGTTTAACATGCCAAGGACATGATTTTAGCATATTGAAGATATGCTTAAAAACATGCGTTAGACACCTGGAAAGTATTTGGCAACATGCTTCCTGTCCATTGATCGTCGTCCACAAGGGGTGATTGGAGAGGGCACGCGAAGGGGCACAAGGCCCTCCCGAGGGCCACAGGAATGCCAGAAGGCATGGGTCGCAGCGAAGCTCAGGACACAGGGGCACCCTTGATTTGGCAGGGTCGACCTACGAATCGATCTCGCCAGCATGGGGGAGCGTGTGCGGCTTCTCAGAAGCTCCCCTGGTCTCAAGAGAGAGCGCGGGCCATTCATCGCATGATAGATGTAAGGCCGACGCCTTCTAAGAAACACCCTCCTTCTAAGGAAGCCCCCCCCTCCCGCCACCCCCTAGAGCGTGCCGCCAACCCATGGAGACAAGCGGCGGCTCTCCCGTCCGGCCGAACTCCGCTCAAGACTTGGGCGCGAATTCAGGGGGGGCAAGGGGGGGGGGAATGGGGAAGGGGGCAGAAGGGGGCCTTCATGGCCCCAGAGGGTGCCTGTGGAGACACAGACATGGGCACCTTTCTCCCCCCCGCCCCGAAGCCATGATTTTTTCATGCCGTCGACCCCCAGAGGTCTGGACCCATTCCCGGGGACCGATTTTCCATCCCGAGTCGTTTTCTGACGGTCCCGAAGCCCAGTGAGGGCCTCCCGAGGCCGAATATAATGAAAACCCTTCCGTCACGATTCGTTCATGACTCGAGGGGGTCTGGGCTCATCGCCCCCCATCAGCTCGCGCCCAAGCGATCCGTCGCCCGGCTCTCGAGGCGGCTCCGGCCACGGCGGCGGGCCGAAAATCAAGCCGAAAACGTCGTCGTTTCAGCCGCCGCCGCTACCACGACCGCCGTCGCCGTCGCCGTCGTCGTCGCCGTCGCCATCGTATTCGTCGTCGTGGTCGTGGTCGTGGTCGTGGTCGTGGTCGTGATCGTGATCGTGGTCGTCTTCGCCGTCGTCGTCGTTTCGTCGTTGTTTCGTCGTCGTTTCGTCGTCGTTTCGTCGTCGTCTCGTCGTCGTCGTAGTCGTCGTCGTCGTCGCGTCGTCGTCGTCGTCGTCGTTGTCCGACGCTAATCGGCAGACCACTAGAGTATCCTGCTGGTCCGTCGTGGTGGCCTACCGCACGCTAATCGGCAGACCACTAGAACATCCTGCTGGTCCGTCGTGCTGGTCTACCGCGCTGCCCTGGAAGCCTCTTGGAGGCATCGCGGGGTCTATTGGGCGCCCCTTGGAGGCCCCTTGGAGGCCCAGTGGAGGTCTCTCGCAGCACTCTTGAAGGTCTGGTGAATGCCTCTCGGGAGTTTCTTGGGGACACCTCGGTGGCTTCTTAAGGCTTCTTGGGCCACAGCGAGCGCCAAGGACGTTGTGCTCCAAGTGTCCTCTGTTGGCCTGTCCGGAAGCATGAGGAAGCAGGAGGAGGCAGCAGTAGCAGCTCGAGGGGGACAGACGCACGAGGAGGAGGAGGAGGAGGAGGAGGAGGTGGAGGAGGAGGAGGAGGAGGAGGAGGAGGAGTAGGAGGAGCAGGGGGACGAGGACCAGTGCACACCCAAGACTCATCAACGATGTTGGAATAAACCCTCCCCCTAGCTCCTTCTTCATAGACCCCGGCAAGCATACAGTTCTATTGAAGTAAGTGCCCCGTTGGGAGGCAAACCTTTGAAGATCCTGAGGCGTACCGAAACACGATTTTCTGGACTTCAACGCCACGAACCAGCTTGACTGCTGCCTTTTGGCGACCCTGAATCCGTGCCAGAGCACAATTTGACTGTTGCGCCCTGACAATCCTATCCTGAATCGTTCCGAAACGCCGTTCCTGGTACGTTGACCATGGAAGCATGCGAGACGCTTGCACATGCTTAATATGAATGTGCGCGGCGCTAAGCCGAGAACCACAATTTGAAAAGGAACCACCCTCGATCCGTGAAACTTCGTCAATCTGTGCTAACGCGAGTGCCACATGTTGAAAACCACCCGCCCTCGGCCCGTTAAACTCTTACGATGTTTTAAACGGATGCGCGCGGCGCAAGGGCGAGAACCAAATGTTGTAAACCACCCGCTCACAATACGTGAAACTTTTGCCATATTCTCGCACGAATGTCCGCGGTGTTAAGGCGAGAGCCACATTTTGAAAAACACCCGCCTTCAATGCGTGAAACTCTTGACTTTTAAAAAAACGAATGCGTAAGGCGATAGCCACATTTTGAACATCGCCCGCCCTCATTCCATGGAAGTCTCGTAAATGTTAGAGCGTCAGGATCCTAGATGGCACGAAAGTCTCAGGCGAAACGCCCAGCCTGCCCTTCCGACTGGCCTCGGGGTGCGACAGGGAGGAGTTGCGGAGAAGAAAGACGAGGAGGACGAGGAAGAGGGGAACGAGAAGAACGAGGAGGACAAGGAGGACGCGAAGGAGAGCGAGGAGGACGAGGAGGACGAGGAGGATGAGGAGGACGAGGAGGACGAGGAGGACGAGGAGGACGAGGAGGACGAGGATGACAAGGAGAAGCGCACCTGACGCCCCTGACGCCTCTGACGCCTCTGCCGCTCCTGCCGCCCCTGACGCTCCTGACGCCCCTGCCACCCCTGACGCCCCTGCCGCCCCTGCCGCTCCTGACGCTCCTGACGCCCCGATGAGCGTCATGAGCGTCAGGGCATCAACACTTTCTGCTCAGGCGCGCGCCGCGCCGGCTCTCGAAGACTGAGCCTGGCGCGATCCCAAATAGGGGAGAGCCCAAACATTGATGCTCTCGTCGAATCTGCAAAAAAAAACGTGCAACGTTTGCTGATCTACGAACATTACACGCATGTTTCGTAGATTCGACGAACACATGAATTCTGGGATACATCAATTCTGTAGTGGATCCCCCGCTCGAAGCTTGAGTTTCCTATTGCATGGGCACGCTGCTTGGCGTTGCCTGGCATTGCTTGGCAGTATGTGGCACTGCTTTGCATTGCTTGGCATTGCATGGCATTTCTTGGCACTGACCAGCGTTTAGTGGCACTGCCTTGCATGGATTGGCGTCGCTTTGCGTCGATTGGCGTTGCTTTGCGGTGCCAGGGGAACCCGAGGAACCCGAGCAAGGCACAAGACCAGGGAGCCCTGGGAACGCAAGGAACCAGACCAGGGAAACCGTCTAGGAACCCAGTCACGGAACAACGCCCGGGAACCCGAGGCCCGAGCAGGGAACGAGGCTGGGCAGCCCGAGGAGCAAGACCGGGGAGCGACCGAGGAGGGCGAGCAAGGCACCATGACGGGAAGCCCGGGGCCCCTGCACTGCAAGGAAACGAAGCGGGGGACTCCCCAGGACCCCCCCGGGGCCAGGAAACAAGACCGTGGGCCCCCGAGGCATGCCGGTGCCAGCCGCGCCTGGCACACACCGGCTCTTCACGGACAGTGACGAGCCCCTCAGGAGAGCGCACTCCGCCCTTCCCATTCCTACAAGATCCCCCGATTCAAGTGATCATGGTGGGCTTGTTTTCCACCACCACCACCATAAGTAAGAGGGGAGGGGGTCCTCCTCCTCCTCCTCCTCCTCCTCCTCCTCAGGCAAGGCCTGCTTGGGGAAAGTCCCAACGGTCGCGATCGCTGCTGCGCCGCCCCGATTGGAGGGCCCGTCTCGACTGGCCCGCCTCCGATCCTCGCGCTGCTCCGCAAGCAGCCGCGCCGCATCCGCGCCCGCCCCGCCGCCGCCGCCGCTGGCCAGAGGACGAGGCGGCTGCAAGAGCAGAAACTTCTGGAGCTCCCCGCGGAGCTCTTGCACCGGCGCTGAGCCCTCCCCTCCCTGGCGCGCGGAACGCGCCAAGGGCGGCGCGGGAGGCGCCGCTTGGGGGGGGGCCCGGAGCAGATCCGAGAAGTCTGCGCGGAACTCCTGAAGATAGGTCGGGCGTGTCCTCCTACGGGCGGAGATTCGAAGAAAAGTTCCAAGATAGTCCGAACATCTTCCACATATTCAAAGATCATCGACACATCGTCCCCAGACCATCCTTTGACTATGGTGTAGTTTTCCTCCTGTAACTCGAGGCCGGGACGTGCCCGACGGAATCCTAAAGTTCATGCTTGAGCAGCTTGCTCCTCTTCCGCTGGCGGGCCTCGGCTGCCGCGGCGCGCCCAGCTCCAGCTCCTTCGGCTACACGCAAGAGTGACCCTGGGTAAGAGTGACCTTTGGTGCGCGGCTTTTTGGGAGCCGCGGGGGGACCAAACCTGGGCGCGCAAGCCGCTATTCCTGCTTCGTTTCCAGCCATCTGGAGACCCATCTATGCCCGCACCAAAGGTCACTCGGGCGAAAGGTCACTCTTACGTCTAGTCGACTCCTGGCCCTGCCCCAGGAGGGCCGCGGACCCAGGCGCGGCCCGCATGGCTCCGGGGGCGCGCCCTGCAGGGCGGCGGCCGGGCGCGGCCGCAGCCCTCCGGCGATCGGGCTATGGCTCTTCGCGCCCGGCGGGGTGCTCCTCCTCGGCTCTGAGCCTCGGGGGCCGCACCACGGATGTGAGCGTTTTCGTGCTTCGGCGTTTCGACATGAAGCGGAGGGGGGGGGAGGGGGGGGACCTGGCTCTGGACCTCTGCTTGCTGCGGCTGCTTGCGGCAGTGCGCCCTATGGAGGAGGCTCCGCCTGCCTGAAGCAGGCGCCAAAAACAGCCAAGATCTACTCCAGGAGGGGGGGGAGGGCAGGGGTGCGAGGGCCCGCGCCGATCGGCAAAACGAGGAATACAAAAACGACCACCATCCAAGGGAACCAAAGTTTCATTCTGTTTGAGGTTCCTCGCCCTTGGGACCCCATCCCTCAGGACCCCATCTTCGAACCACCGAACATCGGCCCCAGGACCACCAGAAACGCCCCCGGGCGAAAAACAGCCCCCCCAGGCAAGCGGTCGGGACCTCGCGGGCCGCGGATGGGGACATCGGCAGCGAGCCCAGGGGGGAAGCTCGAGGAGGGGCAGGCCTCCTCGGACCCAGACATCGGGCGTCTCGAAAAAATCGAGACGGAGGTTTTTCGTGGTTTTCGGCCTCTCGAGGCCCTCGCCGGGCCTCGCCCCTCCCGGGCTCGCTTCGCTGCCGATCTTCGGGGCTGCGGACTGGAGCCGGAGGGTGAAAGTGGGGGCTCGGGCGCAGGGTCCTGGCAATGGTGTCTCTATATGGGCCATGCACGGGCGATGCATCCTCGATTGCTTTGTTCGGCGGGGGTGCCAATTGAAGCTCCCCGCCTGCACCCCTGCGCGAGTCTCGAGGAGAAATCAGAGCGGTGGCGGACGTCGCCGACACGAAAGAGCGACCCTGGGCAGGAGCGTGCCCCTGGCTGCGCGGCCGTCGGGGGCCGCGGGGCAGCCCCGTCCGAGCGCGCCGGCCAGTGCCGCAGGGGCCCCTGCGGGCCCGCGCCCAAAAGGTCGCTCCGGCGAAGAGGGGTCACTCCTGCTGCGCTGGAGTGGAGGCCTCCTAGGTGGGGTCGGAGCAGTGTGGGGACAGGGGGTCGCGCCGCATCGGCGGTGCAGCAGCGGTGTCGGCGAGGCCCTGGCGCCGTCGGCGAGGCGAAAGTCGGGCTCCGCATCGAGCCGCATGGCCGATGCATCGGCGACGCCGAGCGATCCTCTGACCCCATCTACTCCGACCCCATCTAGGAGGCCTAGCCTTGCGCGTAATTCGCTAATTCCCCCTGGGCTCGCCGGCGATCTCGGAGGCCGCAGGTAGGAGAAATCAGATCGGCGGACGTCGAAGCCGCCGCGGGGACACCCGCCCCCGAGGCTGCTTGCGCAGGCCTTGGGAATGGTCGCGGCTGCGGCGGGCCCCCCGAAACTGCGGCAGGCCCCGGCGTTGTGACCGATCCCCCTCCCTGCTGGCATGCCCGCGGCCCCTCTTGGGACGCACAAGGACATACCATTACTACGTGTCCTCCTCGGAGGCGTACGTCCGACCCGAAAATATCGTTTCAACCATCTTGTAGCATATCGTTTCCCGAGCGGTACGGCCAGGAAGCGCCCGCCTCGACACATATACTATAAGATTTGTCGGTGCGCGCGTCGCCCCTGGGGGGGGGGGGGGCGACGCACACATAATATTAGTATGTAGGGGTGCCGCCGACCACCGGCCGACCTCACCGCCATGACTCTGGGTGGGAATAAGCCTCGCTGGCTGTCTTCCACGTCGACGGCAAGGTCCTACAAGAGCGTGCCCAGACGGGGGACCCGGACAGACATTTCGAGCTCTTGGCCCTGAGAGGCTCCCAGGAGGCCCCAAGGGAGTTCCCAAGAGGCCCGAAAGGCCCACAAGAGGTCCCCAGGAAGCCCCAAGAGGCCCCCAAGAGACTCACAAGAGACCCCAACATTCCTCCCCAGAGGCCCCCGAGAGCCTTCTGAAGAGACCCCAAGAAGCATCCCTGAGGACTCTGGCCCACGTCAGCGTCATCGTCGTCGTCGCCGCCGCCGCCGTCGTCGTCGTCGTCGTCGTCGTCGTCGTCGTCGTCGTCGTCGTCGTCGTCGTCGTCGTCGTCGTCGTCGTCGTCGTCGTCGTCTCCCTTCAGGGTCGGCGGCACTGGCCGTGAGGCCTTCGCAATGAGCCCCACTGGCCATCTTCCGCCTCGACGGCAAGGTTTTAGGTCGGGCATGTCCCCCTACGGGGGGATGTTGGACGAAAAATCAAACATAGCCAAGAAATACTCCAGAATAGACAAACACAATACTAGAAGCATCGTCAGCATACTCTTTGTTTTAACTATTTTTGAATATTTCCCTGCAGAGGTGAGGGGCAACGATAGGGGGGGACTGGCATAGGGGAGGAAACATCGACCTGGAATCGGCGATACATTGCCGATAGATCGGCGACAGGCCGCCGATAGAGAATCCACAGGTTCCTAGGCAGGTTGGGGCTATCTCGCCCCTATCGGTGATCAATGGGCGATTGGGGGTCGATGCATCCCCCCTATTCCTATTTCCCCCCCCCCCCCCCTCTGTCGTTGCCACTGATCCCTCTCCTCCTCTCCTCGTCCCTCCCTCCTCGCTCTCCCTCTCCTCGTCCCTCCCTCCCTTCTCATCCCTCCCATGCCCCTCCCTCGATGCCTCCCTCCCTTCTCATCCCTCCTCGCTCCTCCCTCGATGCCTCCCTCCTATGCTTATGTCGGGCGTGTCCCCCTACAGGGGGATTTTCGACGAAAAATAAAACATACCCCCAAAAAACACACCCAAAAGGCATACAAATACTCCAAAAATACTCCCCAAACTATTATTTGAATTATTTTTGGAATCTATTGTGAGGGTATGTTCTATTTTTCGTCGAAGATCCCCCTGTAGGGGGACAGGCCCGACCTAACCCTATGCCCATCTCCCCTATCGTTGCCCCTGAAGGGGGCCATGCCCGACTTGAGGCAGGGCCCTCCTCGCTGCACGCTGCCCCCGGTGCCCTTGGCCGCCCGCACGCCCCTCGCCCGTCGATGCCCGACAATCCGTGCCTCCTCCTCCTCCTCCTCCCCGCTCCCCGGCCGCTTTTTGGAGGAGGAGGAGGAGGAGGAGGAGGAAGAGTTTAGGAGGAGGAGGAAGAGGAGCAGGAGAAGGGGGAGGGGGAGGAGGAGGAGGAGAGGGAGGAGGAGGAGGAGGAGGAGGAGGAGGAGGAGGAGGAGGAGGAGGAGGAGGAGGTTAGGAGGAGGAGGAGTTTGGGAGGAGGAGGAGGAGGAGCCAGGAAGAGTCCAATCGCTCCGTGCGCCCCGCGCCTGGCGCGCCCCGCCAGTCTCGACCCTCGCGCCTGCGTTCGCCAGCGCTGCCGGGCAAAAAAGCAGATGGAGATACAGTCGGGGCGCTGACCTATGAAGAGGCCCTGGGACACACAAATAAATACACACAAGTAAAATTATTCCCCATACTTTCGCATATTTTCTGGGTTTTCGTCTTCCCCCCCACTTCCCATATTTTCCCATCTATTCCTGGGGATCGTCGATTAATTGTGTCTGTGTTTTTTTTTCCCTCTTGAACCTAAGGCACCCGAAATAAGGAACGAGGCTCCTATTTCCCACTAGTTAAACTTTGATTCCCCATCGAGAACCTCAGGAAAGCCTAAGGCAGGCTGCGGAACAGTTAAGGAACACGGAGCCCCTCCCCAACGACAAGGGTTCCTTCTTCAGCGCCCCGACTGTGGCGCGCCCCGCCAGTCACGACCCTCGCGCCTGCGTTCGCCAGCGCTGCCGGGGAAAAAAAAGGTGGCCATACATGCCGTTCCCCTGAGGTTCCGCCAAGAGGCCCGAGAGAGCCCCAAGAGCACTCCCAAAAGAACCCCACAGGTGGCAAAACGGATGATCACCCCTATTTGCTTGCTGCTTTTCGTCGTCGCCATCGCCGCCGTCCCCTTCAGGGTCGGCGGCACCGGCCGTGAGGCCTTCGCAATATGCGGCCCCTTGGGGTTCCGCGGAGCCTAGCCCTACTCGGGGGGGGCAGGCTGGAAGGACCGAGGTGCCATGGCCCGGAGGGGACGGGGATCGGCGCGACGCTATGGGGCCCAGGTGTCGAGCTGGTAGACAGCACGAGAACTGTGGAGCCAGTTCGGTCTCGATCGCCTGCTGCAGAGTCGCACTGCCACCCTGAAATTCTTCACGCCAGCCGTGGGCCGCCACGCGCTGCAGATATGATAGCTGCGCACGCAATGTCTCGTCGTCTTCTGTCGCTGTATAGGGGACAACTGGGGCTTGGCACGTGCGGGCGGGCCCTGGCGGGCGGGCGAGCGGACCCCATCAGGCGGACTAGCGGACCTTGAGGCAGCGTGAGCCCTGCCATGCGGACCACCGGATGGACGAGTGAGGGAGAGAATAGGGGGCCGGGGAGGAAGGCAGGATGGCAAACACAAAAAGAAGATATGAACCCGGCGCGGCCACAGGTATAGTAATATTTGGGAGTGGGCGCGAACATGTAAGTAACTTGGACGCGTGCGCGCCCGAAGTGTGTGAGTGAGTACGGGCGTACGTAACGGAGTGGACACGTAATCCTATGAGGTAAGCAAGCGAGCCTGTAAACGCGCACGCAAGCAAGTTCGTAAATGAAAAAACACAGTGATGATGTGATGGCGTAACGACGTGATGACGACGATTCGTATGGAATAACCAAACGAAGTACGAAAACGTCGCGGTTGCAGGAGGAGGTCAAAGCGGACGTGAATCTGCACTCAGAAGGCTTCGCTACGCCAGCGCCGTTGCCACCTAAGCGGCCTCGAAGGTTTAATCACATGTCTTGTAACGCTGCCGCCAGTGGGAACATGAATGCGCCAAAGGCCACGATTTGTGGTTTTGCCTCGCCGCCGCCGCGAAACGAATTGCGAAGCTGCATGCGCAGCAGTGTTTGGCATTCGCCCGACGTGAAACTTCGAATTGCGTGCTGACAAACTGCTAGCGCCTCGGACTGCCACTACACGTCGCAACGCGTAATCACGATTCTCCGTGAGCCAGATGGGCTGCGGTTGCGCGCGCAACGCCTGCGAGAATCTGGATGTGGCATGCAGGCTACGATAAAATAACAAATCCCACGAAACTAAATTTTGGCTGCGCCAGTCTGCCCCGGTGCGGCGCGGTGCAAGGGCCAAGCGATTCTGGGCACAGTTCACGTCGACCCGCTTACCATCGAAAGGCATTATCTCCACGACTGGTCAAGGGTGCACAGGGCGTCGCTAGCTCCATCACCGTCCGTGGCTGGTGGGAAACCGCACAGGGCAACGCCCGCTCCCCGCACGCGTGCAAGCACACGAAAATAAAAATGAGGTGTTGGCGTCATGGAGTGTGCCAACGATCCACTCATGTTTAGGACCACGTCCCTGAGTCATGGGCCTCCCAGGCAGAACATGTGCCCAAATACGAAGTTGGGGCAGGGCTCGCCGTCGTCGCCGGTCATAACCGCCATCAGGCGATTCCGGCAGCAACGGAAGCGTCCCAGATCGGCGGCACTGGCCAAAGGCCACTACAATACGAGGTTTGGGGAGGGACGTTCGATGGATGATCACCCCCCCCCAGGCGCCCCCTCCCCCAAGGGGCGCTCGCCCGAGCGAATCTGGCGGAATCGCGCGGCAGCGCCAGTGGATAGAAAAAAGGTGTCGGCATCATGGAGTGCGGGGCCTCTGGCTTTGGGTGGCTACGTGGTGACCGAACCATCCGTAACAATATATACATACATAAATGTATGTGTATATATATATACATACATACATGCGAATGTGTCGACCCGCTCCGCGAAGTTGTGGGCAACCAGGAGGCATCGGAAACTGTGGGATTATCTCGCTCGCTTGTGGCACATGCACTTCCGTGATTGTCATTCCGGTTGGCACGCCACAGCTACCCAGGCTCCGAGTGCAGCGCTGTGCGTGGTCGAATGAAGCGCTCTGCGTGGTCAAGTGACGCGCTTTGCGTGGTCACATGCGACAGCAGTCTCAGCTGGCGCATGGCAAGCTGTTCAGCGCTCGCCAACTCTCCCTCGCTGAAACTAGGCCGTGCAACGCTCCCCGCCCGGCCGTCGTTCCGCGGCAGACGCCCGAGCAAGCCGGGCGCCCTGTGAAGCCTCGGGGCCTGCGGCTGAGCATTGCGTATTGCGAAGCTTGCGAGAACCCCTCACGCTTGAGTCTCCCGTGTGCAATGTAAGCGACGCAGGGCGGCGGATCATCGGGAAACCGGGCAACGCTTTGTAAGGCAACTGGGCCAGGCAGTCTCTGTAACCCCGTCGTAATGAAACACGAGCAGCCCCCCCCCCGGGGGAACCCTTTTGTAAGGATACGGACCCAAGGTCCTTGTTCAAGACCAGTCAACCTGAGGAACGCACTGGTAAGGAAACAACGCCAGGAACC